CATCTGACAGCTGTGCACTGTGACCCACCAGGTCAGCAGCTGCTACCCCAGGAGCAGGTAATGTCTTACCATCTGACAGAACCTAGTGGTGAGCCCATCCTCTGCCGACTCAGCAAATTCTGTCCATGGGAGTTTCTCTCTTGTACAGAAGGCAAAGGGCATAGCTGCAAGGAGAGAGGTTCGAGTCACATCACACATGGCCTCTGCTTCTTGTCCTTAGCCCAGCAGCATGAGGTTACCATTGGGACCCTCCCCCTCCCAGGATTGAGGCGGCTTCTTTCAGAAATAAGAAAAGCCATTTAAGAAGTTTGGGAAGCTGGGGGGGGGGGCACCGGCTCACACCTGTAATCCTACTCAGGAGGCTGAAATCTGAGGATGGAGGTTCAAAGCCAGCCCGGCAAGAAAGTCCCTGAGACTTTTCTTTTCTTTCTTTTCTTTTTTTTTTTGGGTCCGGTCGTGGGGCCTGAACTCTGGGCCTGGGCACTGTCCCTCAGGTCTTCAGCTCAAAGCTAGCACTCTACTACTTGAGCCACAGCGCCACTTCCGGCTTTTTTCTTTTTGCTTATGTGGTACTGAGGAATCGAACCCAGGGCCTTGAGCATGCAAGGCAAGTGCTCTACCACTGAGCCACCTTCCCAGCCCCTGAGACTCTTTATCTCCAATAAACCACTAGAAAACCAGAAGTGGCACTGTGGCTCAAGCGGTAGTCTTGAGCTGAAGAGCACAGGGACAACACCCGAGCCCAGAGTTCAAGCCTCAGTACTGACCAAAAAAAGAAGTTTGGGAACAGGATGGGAAGGTGGCTCAGGGGTAGAGTGCTTGCCTTGCATGCATGAGGCCCTGGGTTCGATTCCTCAGCACCACCTAAGCAGAAAAAGCCGGAAGTGGTGCTGTGGGAAAAAATGAGACCAGCTTGCAGTAACTAGGGATCACACAATGACACAAAAGTTTATTTAATGTTGACTTCTTTAGAGATAACACCACAAGGCAAGATAAGATATAATAATACATGGACTTTCAGACCAAAATACATCTTATATATTCAAAATATGACAGCAGAAGTGAAAAAGATAAGAACTAAATGACAAAGTAAATGAAATCTACCAGAAAATTGTGCAAGATATAAGATAGGAAAAACAGAAGGAAACAGGTAAGAAAATTAGGTAACTTACTCAGATATCAGGAAGACTGAAGAAAAAGAAGTGCTAAATAAGATATAAGAGGATTTTAAAAAAATGTTTTAGGCAGGTGCCAATGGCTCATGCCTGTAATCCTAGCTATTCAGGAAGCTGAGAACTTAGGATCGTGGTTCAAAGCCAACTTGGGCAACGAAAGTCTGTGAGACTCTTATCTCCAATTAACCACCAGAAAACTGGAAGTGGCGCTGTGGCTCAAGTGGTAGAGGGCTCACCTTCAGCTGAATAGCTCAGAGACAGTGCCCAGGCCCAGAGTTCAAGCCACACAACTGACAAAAAAAAAAAAAAAGTTCCACAAAACTAAGTTGAAAGAAATGATGGCCAGGTGCTGGTGGCTCATGCCAGTAATCCTAGCTACTCAGGAGGCTGAGATATGAGGATCGCGGTTCAAAGCCAGCCCGGGCAGGAGAGACCATGAGACTCCTATGTCTAATAAACCACCAGAAAACCGGAAGTGGTGCTGTGGCTCAAGTGGTAGATCGCTCGCCTTGAGCTGAAGAACTGAGGGACAGCGCCCAGGCCCAGAGTTCAAGCCCCACGACCAACCAAAAAAAAAAAAAAAAAGAAAAGAAATGAATAGTCAAATCTCCCAGATAGGCCAGTTTCAACCAGCAGGATAGTATTTCCTTTGTGCTTTAATTCTTACACCAAAATTAATCTACAGTAAAATAATGTCAATCAGTCAGTTGTTTTGTTTCTTAATTGTTCTGTGTCCAGGTCCCTAGAAGGCTGGCAATTATTTACTTTACAATGAAAATCATTTTCAAACAACCAGTCCTCTCTTCTTCATAAAACCAAACTCCTGCTCAGTTCATTGGAAGACCTATTTTATTTTTGCTGGTATTGGTCTTGAAAAAAGCATGAGCTACCAGTGACCTGCTGACATATTCTATTTTATGAAATGAAATGTTTTCCGATTCTAGAATCACAAATAAAGCCAACTAACAACCTTCAACTAATATTAATTTTGCCTTTTGACAGAGCAAAGAACTAATGAAAAAATACAAGAAAATGTAGATTAATAGACCCAAGTGTCTAAATTGAAATAATTTACGAAGTGCCTAAAGGTTCGAAAAGGTATATGCAATGGAATTTTTTAAGTTAGCCTAAAAACAAACAAGATCCTACAATCTTCTAGAGAAAAATAAACAAATTGTAGACAAATAAAAATGGATTTGAGTCAGTCAATGACACTTACTCAATGCTAGAATGGAGCAATGTGTCCAAACTTCTATAATGATTTCTAACCTATAATTTGATGCCAAATTGGGTTGGTAATCTAGAATTTGATATGTACTCAAACTATCAAAAAAAAAAAAAACATTGTAAGTGATCACCAGTGGCTCATGCCTGTAATCCTGTCTACTCAGGAGGCTGAAATCTAAGGATGGAGGTTTAAAGTCAGCCCAGGCAAGAAAGCTGGTGAGACTCTTATCTCCAATTAACCACCAAAAAGCTGGCAACAGAGCTGTGGCTCAAGTGGTAGAGCTCTAGCCTTGAGTGGCAAAGCTAAAGAACAGCACCCAGATCCTGAATTCAAGTCCCAGTACTGACACACACATACATGTACACGTACACATACACACACACATGCACAGATGATACATATTCCTTGGATACACATGGCTTCAAAACAATATCTCTGACATGCTCTTTCTCAAGAAATCATTCCATTAGAATGAGGGAGTAAAACTAGAAGGAAGAAGGAAGGAGGTCTCTACAGGATACTGGTGAGGGGAGGTCCCCAGAGGATAGCTCTATGGACAGTAGACAAGGCAACTAATTCAGACAGTAAGTCAGAAGGTTTGGCAGATTCCTTCAAAGGAACTGATAGACTGCTTGATGAGTCCAAACAGGTTAAAGGACCTCAGAGACTGGTAGAAAGGGTTCATCTTTCGGTAAGTATGTAGAAAACAAGGCAAACTGGAAGGAAAATAGAAAAGGACTCAAGAGAAGAAATAAATATGGACAAAAAGACTCAGCAGCAACTAGAATGGAGATAAACAGGAAGGATACACATATCTAGAGGGGCACAAGGGGGCCAAGTGTTTACTGTGGTAGGAAATACAGAGATGAGACAACAAAATAATGAGAAGAAACAACAGAAATGAATAAATTTCAAAAGAATTTGCTGTGTTCAACAGTCAATTTTTTGATAATAGAACGGTAGGCCTATTTTGACTCTAAATCATGAGCATGTTTAACTCTGTAAGAAGTAAAAAGTTAACATAGAACATATGGTCCACACCTATAATCCCAGCTCTTCTACCTAGAAGTAGGAGAATCATAGTCTGAGACCAGTCTGTACAAAAGCACAAGACCTTATCTGTTAAACTGAAGGGAAAAGGGCTACAGGTGTGGCCCAGATGAAAGGTTTACCTAGTAAGCTTGAGGCCCCTACATTCCAACCCCAATACACCCCCCACCCCCCCAAAAAAAGACAAGATGCATTGTATTCATAAACTGATTTATTAAATGGCAACTTCTTTGTACAACTACTTAAAGATAATAAAAAAATTAAAAAATATATAAAAAGGTACCAGACGGGCTGGTAATGTGGCTTAGTTATAGAGTGTTTGCCTCGCATGCAGGAAGCCCTGGTTCGATTCCTCAGTACCACCTAAACAGAAAAAGCCGGAAGTGGCACTGTGGCTCAAGTGGTAGAACACTAAACTTGAGCACAGAGGGGTGTAGGGACAGAGCCCAGGCCCTGAGTTCAAGCCCAAGGACTAGCAAAAATAAATAACTAATAAAGGTACCAGAAATGTATATAACAGAGAATTTTAGGGAGAGAGGCTGGCTGGCTTAGCCTAGATCAGAAGGTAAAGTAGGCTTAGGAAGGACTAGTGTTGAGGTGGCAAGGAGACCAGCTGGAGGTTATTAAAAAAGCCAAGATTGATGGACTGTGTGTACACATATTATTTTTCCTTTTTGGGGGGGGGGTGGTTGTGGGATTTGAACTCAGGGTCTGGATACTTTCCCTCAGCTCTTCAGCTCAAGGCCAGCGCTCTACCACTTGAGCCACAGCACCACTTCTGGCTTTTTCTGTACATGTGGTGCTGAGGAGTCGAACCCAGGGCCTCATGCATGCAAGACAAGCACTCTACCACTGAGCCACCTTCCCAGCCCCCAGCTACCTTCCCAGCCCCCTATTTTTCCTTTGATTTATGTTTGCACCTGGGCACTGTCCTTCAGCTTTTCTGCTTAAAGCCAGCACTCTATCAATTGAGCAACAGCTCCACTTCTGGCTTTTTGTTGGAGATAAGAGTATCATGGATTTTCTGTCCATGCTGGCTTTGAACTGTGATCCTCAGATCTCAGCCTCCTGAGTAGCTAGGATTATAGGCATGGGCCATCAGTTCCTGACTTTTTTCTTATTAAGTAATTATTCTTTGGAACTCAAAAGAGAGAGAGAAAAGAAAACCAATCAAGGAGGAGGACAGGGAGCATAGTTTGGAATGAATAAAGTTCTGGATTTGATATCCAATCTGAGAAGGAAAGAAAGAAAGAAAAAAGAGAGAGAGAGAGGGAGGGAGGGAGGGAAGGAAGAAGGGAGAGAGAGAGGAAGGAAGGAAGGAAGAAAGAAAGAAAGAAAGAAAGAAAGAAAGAAAGAAAGAAAGAAAGAAAGAAAAGGAAAAAACTACTGGTAACTTGGACCAGGGCAGAATTAGAGGTTTTCTGGTGTTACTTACAAATAGACTTTCTATTGATGAGTAAAGGAGAGTTTTTCTTAATCAGGTAGCATACATTCTAAGACACAATTGCTTAAAGATGCTGAGAAAGCACTGGAAGAGAGAGACTTACTCCATGCTTCTTGGAAACAAATGATGTTGACTCCGCACATTGCAGCAACCTCCACAATGGCCTCAATTCGTCTGTGGAGGGCAGAGACCTGGTGATTATTAAAGAGTAAGGATTAGCTGGACTCTGGTGGCTCATGCCAATAATCCTAGCTACTCAGGAGGTTTGAGATATGAGGACTGAGGTTCAAAGTCAGCTGGAACAGCAAAGACATAAGACTCATCTCCAATTAAACACACACGCACACACATACCCACACATACCTACACACAGAAGCCAGAAGTGAAGCTGTGGCTCAAGTGGTAGAACACTAGCCTTGAGCACAAAAGCTCAGGGAGAGTACCCAAGCCCTAAGATTAAGTTCCAGGACCTGCACCAGAAAAAAAAAAAAAGAAGAAGAAGAAGAAGAAGAGGAAGAGGAGGAGGAGGAGGAGAGGGAGGAAGAAGAGGAGGAGGGATTAGAATCCATTCATTTCTATTGGTAAGGAGGTCATTTTTAAGAACTCATCACTAGCTGCGCTCCGGTGGCTCACACCTGTAATCCTAGCTACTCAGGAGGCTGAGATCTGAGAATAAAAGCCAACCTCGGGAGCAAAGTCCATGAGACTTTTATCTCCAATATACCACCAGAAAACCAGAAGTGGCGCTGTGGCTCAAGTAGTAGAGCACTAGCCTTGAGCTGAAGAGTTGAGGGGCAGCGCCCAGGCCCAGAGTTTAAGCCCACAACCGACAAAAAAATAAAAATAAAAAATAAAAAAATTCATCCCTGGCTTGGTAAAGGTGCTTACTTCTGTAATTTCAGATACTTGGCAGGTAGAGATTGGGAGGATCTGATTTGTGGCCAGCCCAGGCAAAAGCTAGCAAAATTCCTTCTCAATAAATAAGCTGGGTATGGAGGCACATACCTCAGGTATGTGGAGGACCATGGTCTGAAGCTGGATCCAAGCAAAAGTACAGACCTTAACTTGAAAAATAGCTAAAAGTAACCGGGCGCTGGTGGCTCACGCCTGTAATCCTAGCTACCAGGAGGCTGAGATCTGAGGATCGCGGTTCAAAGCCAGCCTGGGCAGGAGAGACCGTGAGACTCCTATCTCCAATAAAATCACCAGAAAACCGGAAGTGGCACTGTAGCTCAAGTGGTAGAGTGCTCGCCTTGAGCTGAAGAGCTGA